CCAACACAACATCCATTCTGCAGCCCATGGGTCAAGGAGTAATTTTAACTTCCAAGTCTTAATATTTAAGAAATACATTTTGTAAGGCTATAGCTACTGTAGATAGTGATTCCTCTGATGAATCTGGGCAAAGTAAATTGAAAACCTTCTAGGAAGGATTCACTATTCTAGATGCCGTTCAGAGCATTTGTGATTCATAGGAGGAGGTCAAAATATCAAGATTAAGAGGAGTTTGGAAGAAGTTGATTCCAACCCTCATGGATGGCTTTGAGAGGTTCAAGACTTCAGTGGAGGAAGTAACTGCAGATGTGGTGGAAACAGCAAGAGAACTAGAAGTGGAGCCTGAAGATGTGACTGAATTGCTGTAATCGCATGATAAAACTAATGGATAAGGAGTTGCTTCTTATGGATGAACAAAGAAAGTGGTTTCTTGAGATGAAATCTACTCCTGGTGAAGATGCTGTGAACATTGTTGAAATGACAACAAAGGATTTAGAATATTACATAAATGTAGTTGCTAATGCAGTAGTAGGGTTTGAGAGGACTGACTCCAATTTTGAAAGAAGTTCTACTGTGGGTAAAATGCTATCAAACAGCATTGCATGCTACAGAGAAATCTTCCATGAAAGGAAGAGTCAATCAATGTGGCCAACTACATTGTTGAATTCTTTCAAGAACTTAAAATAATTTAAGCCGCCCTGGCCTTCAGCAACTACCACCCTGATCAGTCAGCAGCCATCAACATTGAGGCAAGACCCTCTATCAACAAAAAGATTACAACTCGCTGAAAGCTCAGATGATGGTTGTCATTTTTTAGCAATTAAGTATTTTTTAAATTAAGGTATAATACGTCCATTTTTTTTTAGACATAATGCTAATGCACACTTAATAGACTACAGTATAGTGTAAATATAACTTTTATATGCACTGGGAAACCAAAAAAATTAGTGTGACTTGCTTTATTGAGATATTTGCTTTATTGTGTTGGTCTGGAACCGAACCCATGTGCCTGTTTGGCTAGTAGTGGCACAATGATTACTGCTCAGCTGCTAACCGAAAGGTCAGCAGCTTGAATGCACCAGCTGCTCTGCAGGAGAAAGATGGGTCAGTCTGCTCCTGAAAAGATTATGGCCTCGGAATGGGGCGGTTCTACTCTGTCATATAGGATAGCTATGAGCCAAAACCGACTCTATGGCACAACACAACTCAGTAGGGGCTAGGATCCAGTGCTCCTAAGTTCTGTACTGTTTCCACTCTGCTACATTGCTCTCACTCTCTTTTTTCCCCCTTGGTTTCCTTTCATTCATTCTACACCTATTTGTTATTGAGTGTAAATAGCTGGGACACAAGCATTAACAACAACAGAAAAACTTGCTCTCTGCACCTCCCCTACCCAGACACTGTCGGTTGCAAGTCTACTGTGAATTGCTACAGAAGGCTCATGCAGTGGAATCTGCTCTTATAGTCAACACTCTACCAGCCTTCCTGCGCACCCCATAACACAGCCTCTGAAATCAACAGGACAAAACTTCTGGGGAGTCACTTCAGGTCTGTCTGCTCCCCCTTTTGAATGGTGCTGAGGGCTGCAGACTGAGCCTGCTGTGTGCTATGAAGCAGGCATCTTTAGTGGAGACTATGCCCACAGCCAACATACTACAGGGAGGGCTGTGATAACAACAAGGCAGACCTCCATGGGGATCTGACCAGAGAGTGACACCCCCTCCCCCACCTAGTAATTGTTGGTTGCCAAGCTGTTGCAAACTGGTACAGAGGCCCCTGCAGTGGAGTCTGCTCCCATAATCAGCACTCTACCTGCCTCCCTGTGCACCCCATAGCTCAGACCTCTGAAACCAACAGGACAGACCTCCCTAGGGATCAGTTTGGGTCAGTCTGCACCCCCTTTCAGTCAGTGCTGAGGACTGCTGACTGAGGCTGCTGTGTGGTAGGAAGCAGGCATCTTGAGTGGAGGCTGCAAGCACAGCTAACATACTACAGGGTGGGCTCTGATAGCAGCAAGGCAGACCTCCCTGGGGGTCCGTTTGGAGTGTGACTACTCCTCCCCCAGCTGGTAGCTGCTGGCTGCTGGACAGATATGAGCTCTTGCAGAAGATTCCCTACAATGGAGTCAAGAGGTGGGTTGCCCAAGCAGAGGCTGTTAACATGCCATCCTACCTCTCCAAACAAAATGAGACCTGATTTATACTCCAACAACACTGAGATAAGTACCTACTTTTCTCATCTTGTCCATCAGAGTATTACATATTTTTTAAAAACACATGTTCTATGTCCAATATGCAAAAAGTGCTTTCTCAAGGTGGTTATAAAGTGCATTCTTGATTAGTGAAGCTGAGTATCGTTTAATATACATACAGTATACTTGTAGTTCTTTTGTGAAAATTTCTGGTTGAGTTATTCCTCTTTTTCTAATTGCTATGTAGGTGTTATTTGTGAATTAAGACTCTTACTCTTTATCTGTTAATGAATGTTACAAAAATCTTTCCTCCCAATTTTGCATATTACCTTCTGCTATATAGAAATTTTATATGTTTGTATAAGCCAATCTTAATGTTAAATTCTAATATATACCAGGGTTTCTTTTTATTTTCTCTTCCTATACTTTTACTGTTGAAAGCATATTGTCAAATCCATCACACATCTTTTAATATTACTGACACTGTCTTTTGGTGTACTAAAGCTTTTAATTTAGTAAAATTTGCCATTTTCTTTTGAGTTTTATGTGTTTTGTCTAAGGAAAAAACTATTATACCCCTCATTTTTTCTTCTAACACTTTAGAATTGTTGTTTTTACAAATAAGTACTTCATCCATCTGAAATTTTTTTTTTTAATATGGTAGTAACTTTGAGATGTAAATTTATTTGCCTCCATATAAAAAATCTATTATTCCAATACCTATAGTTGAAAGGTTAATATTTTCTCCAGTGATTCACAGATCTTTACATATATAAGAGGATCTATTTCTGGACTCTATGTTTTATTATCTTGATCTAATTTTTAAAAAATCCTTGCAGTGATACAATTTTGTTTTATTTTTATAATACTATTTATTAATCTGGAGCCCTGGTGGCACAGTGGTTAAGAGCTCAGGCTGCTAATCAAAAGGTTTGCAGTTTGATCCCCAGCCATTCCTTGGAAACCGTCTAGGGCAGTTCTACTCTGTCCTATAGTGTTCCTCTGGGTCAGAATTGACTCAACGGCAATGGATTTGGTTTTTATTATTGATTTTAAGATGTGGCGGCCCCAATCATCTTCCTCTTCTCAAAGTTTTTTTCTTTTTTGTCCTTCTTATTTTCAGAATTGTTCTGAATATTTGAATATCTGGAGGGCCCTACACCACCAAATTAATTTAAAATGTCAATAGTACAATTAATCCTGTTGGAATTTTTATTAGAGTTGCATAGAATTTATAGAGATTTGGAAGAAATCAGTATTATTATGAAATAGTTTATTAACATCAATATATATGGTTTATTTCTCAATTTACTCTTTTAAAAATACACTAATGTATTGCACATCTACTGTTAGGTACCTAATACTTGTTGTCATTGTGAAATGTACCTTATTTTCTACAGTAGTTTTTGCTATTGCTGCTTTAGAAACATGTTATTAATTCTGGTTCATTGATTTTACATCCAGCAGCAATCCTGCTAAACTTTTATTAAATTTGAATAAATTCAAAGCCTATGTATTTAAATTTTTTTTCTCTCAATTATATTGCTTGTTGCCATTCCAATCCTTAGAGTCTCTTTTTTTCTCTGTCTTGTCATACTGCATTACCTAGGACCTCCAGTAAATTGCTGAGGAGTACTTGTGATGACAGGCATTGCCATATTTCAACGCAAATAGTGCACGTGTTATGTTTTTTACAACCGGGCAACCCCTCATGTGTTATTTGCCTAGGTGCGCTGTGCACTTTATATGTGTGGGCACATTATTTATGTGGGTGCTTTATTCGAGAAAAATATGGTATATATGATTTCAAAGAAAATGTCTCCAAAGTTTCACAAGTAAGCATGATGCCTGCTGTAGACTTTTGGAGGACTCCCTTTAACTAGATAAGGAAGTTCTCTAATTTGCTAATACTCTTATTTTTTATAGTGAACTTTACATATATATGCAAGCATAAAAGGAATATATGTGCAATTTAAAGGGCAATAACAAAAAGTATTCATGTCCTTACCACCCAGTTAAAAGACAGAAAATGACCAGTACCTTACAAGCCTCTCTGAGCCCCCCTCTTGTATACCCCTCCACCTCCCTTACAGGTAAGGACCATCTTGAATTTTAGTTTTCCCACCTATAAATGTACCCATAAATAATATTTTTCATTTTCCCAGTTCTAAACATTATACAAATGAAATTATACTTCATATTTTTTATAAATTGCTTTACTTGCTTACTATTATGTTTCTGAGATTCATCTAGTCAAAGCATTGCTATAATTCGTTTTTGCTGCTGTATAGTATTCACTGTATGAACGTATAACAATTTATCAATTTGACTATTGATGTTGTACCTAGTTCGTTTTTGGCCATCATGAACAATCTGCAGATATTCTTGTGTACCTCTCCTGCATATAAGCAAGTGTCTCTCATGTGCAGGTGTGAAATTACTGGATGACAGAGTATATTCACGTGTTCTCTTACCATGTACATGTGTACACACTGTTGAAGATTTAAACCCACGAGTGGAACTAGTAGGTATAGAGTGTGTGTATTTCCAATTTCATTAGATAATGCTGAACAAATTTATGAAATGGGTATACCAATTTACATTCACACATGAGAGAAACCACTGATCCATATATTTACTAACACTTGGAATTATCCAACTCTTTAATTTTCTGGCAACCTGGAGGGCAAAAAATAGCATCTTGGTGTGATTTAATTTGCAAATCTATTTACGTATCACATATTATACATATATTGCGTATATGCATGTATATGTACAATCTATAACTGTATCAAGAGCTTTAACTCACCTGTTTGGAAAGTGATTTCCATGTTTTAGCATCTAAAATAAATAAACATAAATTAATTACAAAACAAATACTTCATGTAATGTATATGCAAATTAAGTAACCATCTATAACTCATAACCAAGCTTTTATGTTTAAAGGGAAAAAGTCTTTTAAATTGAAGATTAGGATATATGGTATCACCTTATACTTATTATCTATTTGTTTTATATACTACAAACTAAAATAATATCAGAGGAATGGGAAACACATTTTCCCATAACCATAGTATATTCATTTGGGGCTTTCTGGATTTACAAAGTAAGTTATCTTATTCCATTTTAAACATCCTATAGACATAAAAACATAAACAATGATATTTATTAAACATTCAAATCAGAACATAAAAGATATTGATTAACATAGAGACATTATAATTTTAAGGTATTGAAACCCTGGTGGAGTGGTGGTTAAGAGTTCGGCTGCTAACCCAAAGGGTCGGCAATTTGATTCCACCAGGCGCTCTTTGGAAATCCTATAGGGCAGTTCTACTCTATTGCTATGAGTCGGAATTGACTCGACGGCAACAAGTTTTTTTTTTTTTTTTTTAACCCTTGATGTTTGTTGTATTAACGCCCCTGCTGTTGTCAGCTGCCACTGAGTCGGCCCCAGACTCATGGTGACCCAATGCACAACAGGATTGGACTGTTGTGATCCATAGGGTTTTCACTGGCTGATTTTCAGAAGAAGATTGCCAGGCCTTTCTTCCTATTTGGTCTTAGTCTGGCATTTCTGCTGAAACCTGTTCAGTATCACAACATGGAGGCCTCCAGTGACAGATGAGTGGTGGCTGGGCTTGAGGTGCATCGGCTGGGAATTGAACCTGAGTCTCCTGCATGGATGGCGAGAATTCTGCCACTGAAGCATCACAATTTATAGGTCAGGTTTCTTTAAGGTAAAGAGGAAAGAGGGAGGGCACACAGAAAGAAAGATAAAAGGGACAGCAGTAAAGTGGAGGGAAACCCTCATCCTGTTTTCCACTCTTCTTCCCTAGAACTGTTCAAAGGCATCTCTGGAACAAGGGTGTTATATTTGAATAAAATAAATGGAATTACTTTCTTTTACTGATTCCGTCCATCCTGGTACCCCAAAATCTCAAATACAATAAATCATATAATATTGGGATAAATACTCAGTCAATACTGCCTTTCTTCCCTTTGGTCAGGTTTGAACACTATGAATATCTAATGCCTGCTCAATAATTATCTCCAGGTTTACATATGATCAAGTCCTATAACGTAGCTGCATTAGGAAGTGGTAAACATTATTTCAGCTACATTACGATAATGACAACCAATAATTTTTCTACATGACAATGTGTCTATTTCTGTGTAACTAGCCACTGTTAACATTAACAATATATCAAGTTCAACATTACAAGACAAGATATTTTGCTGTTAACGTCTCTTTTTTTTAGGTAAAATAATAATTCATTTTAAGATCAAAAGGAAAGAAACATGTTTCTAAAACTGACAAACTGATTTTTGTGGAGATAGATTTCCTTGCTGTGTAGCAACAACACAGTCATATATCCCTTCCTTTACCCAAGAAAATGTATAAAACTATACAAACACATAATCAAGTGATTAAAATCTCAGGTCTACACATTAGAATTCAGATTTAACCTTAACTATGATACTGTATAATCCTATGGAACAGTTCTACTCTGCACACCTGGGGTCACCATGCGTTGCAACTGACTGGACGACAAGTAACAACAGTATGATATTGTATACACATTTCATAAAGATACTCTCCTTTTAGCAAATAACAGAACAATGTAAATGATATTTATTATTTGGTTGCTTTAAAACTATAGCATAAGAAAAGAAGAAAATAAAGTGATAAAAAGTACACTGCACACACTCTTATGCACTACTCAAAGCTATTTATCAAAAGAGGAAGTGAGATGTGCTCTTGAGTTCTGTAGGGCTTACAAGATTTCCAGGGTAAATTATTCACAAAAGACATTCATTCTGCCGGACATGTCACCATGTTCAGTATTATTAGCTTTTTCAAAATAAAGAATAAAGAGCTATTAAGATTGTTCTTCAAAGGATTTTCTCACTTTCTAAATTACTTATGTCGCATGAAATTATTGCACATACAAATATAACCTGCATAGAGAAGGTCTTCAATTCTATTGGAAATGTTTTATTTTTTAAGTTGTAGGTTGAGTACAGAGGTGTTCATTGTATTTTTATACTTTCTCATATGTTGGAAATATTTAACAATATATTTTTAATAACCAAAATAATACTTGAAGCTATAAGAAAATAATGAATTATTGATTTCATCCTTTAGGGTCTACATAAATAGGTAAAACAAGAAATATTTTAGATTCCTAAACAAAGTTATAATCAATCACATGCATGTCTCAGTTAACACTTATTTGAACTATAATTAAGCAAATGTTTATTCAATGCACCATTTTTGCTACTAAATGTCACCATAAAACGATACAAGGTTTTTAAAAACTCTTGGTTATGAATTACGGTGAGAGTGATGATGATTACTATGATGATGACGGCTCCCAACATTTATTAAGTGCTTACTGTGTGTCAGGTACTATACTAAGCACAATTGATCTCAATTCAATTGTCAAAAAACCTCACGAGGCTGTTCTTTTTTTTTTTCATAAATGAGAAATCAAAAGATTAAATAACTTAATCAAGCTTTCAAAGCTAATAACGGAGTGCCAAGATTTAAATGTCTAATTTCAATACGGGACTTTGATATGCATCCGATTTAATATTCGGTATATGGACCATATTTTCTATTCTAAGGCAAATATTTCTTTTTAAAACCCTTCACTTAAAAAAAAAAGTCTTGACAAATATCTTGATCTTTTGTGACTGTTTCTAAATTGCTGGTCAGAAATTAACTATTGTTGTGGTTGTTAAACATCTTGCAGAATTATTTGTAATGGAAACTAGTTTTTTCCTGCAAGCGATTCAGAAGAATCACCACAGAAGTTATGTCCAAAAAGCAGAAATCCAACTGTGGGTTTCCAGTGAGTGTATCATGAAGAAAAAATTTAAGTCAGTAATGAACTAGGATTGTTTCCAAAATATGAAATTATAAATCATTAAACATCACTTAAGGAATAACTTTTCAAATATAAGTTTGATAAAAATTCATAGAATTTGATGCAAAATAGCGTTTAATATTCTAAAAATATATTAATAGTGTTATCAAATCTATACTAATTTAATAATAAACATAAAAAACTCACATTGTACCAAATCAAATGAACAAAAATGTGTAGAATACTTAAACATTTACTTACAGTGAAGAGTCTTTTCTATGAGTTAAGGGGTGATACAAAGTCCCTATACCCAGAAAACTTACGGTATTATGAGAGGGCATAAAATACAGAAGAAACCCAGTGGCATAGTGGTTAAGTGCTACAAAAGGTCAGCAGTTCAAATCCACCAGGCGCTCCTTGGAAACCCTATGGGGCAGTTCTACTCTGTCCTATACGGTTGCTATGAGTCAGAATCGACTCGACAGCAATAGGTATAAAATACAGAACCAATTCGAAGGCAGAATATAATTATCTGGCACATGGTAAGTAGTCAGTAAATATTTCTTGACGGGAAGGAAGAAAGAAGGCAAGGAGGATCACAGGAGCACAGATGGATATAACTCTTACCACAGTCCTTGAATTCCTCAAAAAAGAGCCCTACTCATCTGGACTCTTCTTTCACTACTTGCCTACATACCCCCAAAGAGAACTACTATGAACATACCCTTTACCTCTTGATTCCACGTTTTTGCTCACAGAACTCCCTCTCTTTCAGATGCCATCCTCCCAGTCTCTGGTCAAAATCCTGCATGATCAAGCCTCTCCTTCAGATTCCACTCCGGCTACTACCTTTCCATTCTCTTTCACAGCCAAACTCACTGTCTCCATTTCTTCATCTGCTGCTCAGTCTTGCAATCTGGACTTTGCTCTAATCACTCCACTGAAACATCACTTTTAGGATCATTCATAACCTTCATTACTAGTTCTAACCAGTTGTCGTTGAGTCGATTCTGACTCATAGTGACCCCACCTGTGTCAGAGTAGAGCTGTGCTTCATAGGGTTCTCAATGGCTGATTTTTCGGAAGTAGATCACTAGGTCTTTCTTTTGAGCCACCTCTGGGTGAACTCAAACCTCCAGCCGTTCAGCTGGCAGCTGAATGTTTTAACAGTCTGTACCACCTGGGAACTCCTTACCAACTCTAGTGGGCATTTTCCTGTCCTCATCTAACTTGACTTCTCAGTAGCATTCCGCTCAACTGGCCATTCTCCCCTTGGCTTCTACTAATCCATACTCCTCTGGTTTTCTTCTTGTATCTCTGGAGACTCTGTGCACCACCGGGGCTCCATCTCAAATACATCTGGTCCAAGATTAAAGCTGTGACTTTCTCCTCACCTCTAGTCCTCCTTCAGCACTCCCTCCTGTCATCCACCTAGTTTAGTCAGGCAGACCCTTATTCCCGGTCCCCTTTATTTTAGCCCCTAAAAGCTCTGAAAGGAGCCCTGGTGGCGCAATGGTTAACTGCTCGGCTGCTAACTGAAAGGCTGGAGGTTTGGATTCACCCAGCAGCGGAGAAAGACCTGGTGATCTGCTCCCGTAGAGATTACAGCCTAGAAAACTCCATGGGGAAGTTCTGCTCTATCACACTGACTCGATGGCACCTAACAACACCAACAACAATATGTGGGAAATTTTTCCTTTTCTTTCCCACCATCATGAGCACCATCACTGGAGGCTTCTGTAGCTTGAAGTTTTTGAACCTCTGATCTGCTCATACCCAGTCTGGTCCTCTATTTTCCACTCTGAGACCTTTTCAAAACATAATCTAATCATGCATCTTACCCTGCCCCCACTCCCCACCCCCCAGTTTAAAAGTTTAAACCACCGCTGTGATTTCCCACTACTTTTAGGGTAAAAACAAAAAAATATGTTTACTATAAGTCACACACTCTGAATGAACTGGCCACACCCCGCTTCTCCAGCCTCACCTCATACTACACTCCTCCCTGCTCTTCACACTACAGCCACATCCAGTTCATCGGGTCACTCTTCCAGTGTCTCACACTCCTTCTTGTCCGGGGGTCTCGTCCCATACTGCTTCTTCTGCGGAAACTCTCCACTCCCCAGGTCCCTCATACCTAGTTACCTCTATTCAAGATTCACCTTTCATGTCGGTTTTTACTGTCCCAGGGAAGATTCCCTGAGCTCCCTGACTAGGTCACCTCCTCCAAAATATACACTCTCACAGAACCAAGTATTTTTCTTTCACAGCATTTATCACAGTTATAATTTATTGTTCATTTGTGTATTTCATTGATCAGTGTCGACTTTTCCACCAGACTGGAAGCATCACGAGGGTGGAGCGCATTTCCTTTCTTCCCCCTCACCGCTGTATCTCCAGTGCCTTCCTAGTGCAGTGCCTGGCACTTGCTGGGTGTAGTTGAGTACGTGTCATTTAACATTCTGTGAGGTGAAGTGGGAGGTGGACTGCCTACCTAAGTACTATGGTTGTCTCTAGGAAAGCACTTTTTGATTACTTGAGTTGTGAACTGAACTAGCTGCTTTTCTCATGGAACAGGATTTTTACTTGCAAGAACAACTGACAGACAAATTACGGGTATTCAGACCTAGGTATTTGGCAGACATTCTCTTAAAACCGAACAAAGTGAGCCTATTGCTTAAGGAAAACAACTGATAATACTTGTTGCCAATGATAAATTAGAGCTTTTCAAGTGAAAACAACAATTTTGGAACACTTGCATATACCACTAACAATTATTCCAATAATTATAGACTTTTCTGATGAGACTGGTAATACTACTAATGAATGTGACTTTTTAAATATTATATAATGAAAGGTGTTAACATTTGGAAGAGGTCCATAACTTAGTAAACCAATATTTTCCAATTGATGCTACAATATTATGCAAGGTTAAAAATTCACTCAAAGTAGAAGACAGACCAATGGATTTTAACATAACAGACGACAAACAGTTCGTTGATAATGTTTCAGATTCTGTATTGCAGATAAGCTTTAAGAAAGCACCACTAACCTCATTTTGAGATACCATCAAAGAAGAACACGCACAATTATCTGAAAAAGGGTATTAAAAGTCTTCCCTTCTCCTACTACCTATTTCTGCGAGGCAAATTTTCTTCATATACTTCATGTGAAACAACATACTGCAACGGACTGATTAGGAAAGCGGATATGAGACTCCAGCTGTCCTTAAGTTAGATTTTAAAGAGGTTTGCGAAGAATGTACACAATGCCAGAAGGCCGGACAACCGCTGCCCCGACACGTGGAGACGTGGAAACAATTCGCCTGGATTTACCGTGCAGGAGCTACGACAAACACAGGAGAGAGACGAGGCAGAGCTCTTGCCCAGGGCGGACTTCAACGCTAATCCTCTGAATTAGTCTGCTCAGGTTGGCCGTAAGAACCAACAGGCAGAATCTCAGTCTACTGTAAAGAGTACCAAAAGTAAGGTGTTTAAGTCTGATATACTGAGAAAGAGGGAGCAACTGAAAGCTTCTGAAAAGAGAGTTCATATGAAATATTAGTCTAGTAATATCATATAGCATAGTAGCTTTTGAAATACATTACTTGGTTAGGTGTTCTGAAATTTATATAGCCCCACATGTTTATAAACTAGATATGAGAAAAAAAAAAACGTATAAAATTATTAAGGTTAACTAAAAAACTTACACTTACATTTGGGCTCATCTGTTGTAACAGCCAAAATAAAATCATACGGAGTCATGAACAACTGCCCGTCACATTCTATAGAAGCAAATAAACGAAATCGCCGCTCCCGTGAGGTTGTGTAGAGGTCTAAGTCTTCCGTGTCTGTTCTGCCCGTAGCAACCTAAAGTAAAGAAAGCAAATAAATTTGGACTGTGTGAAGTAACACTTTTTTTTTTACTCTGCTTTAGGTGAAAGTTTACAGCTCAAGTTAGTCTCTCATACAAAACTTCATACACGTATTGTTACGTGACCCTAGTTGCAATCCCTATACTGTAACAGCACACTCCTCCTTTCTACCCCGGATTTCCCATGTCCGTTCAATCAGCTCCTGTCCCTTTCTGCCTTCTCATCCTGCCTCCAGCCAGGAGCTGCCCATTTAGTCTTGTGTATTTATCTGAACTAAGAAGCACACTTTTCACGAGTATCATTTTATGTTTTATAGTCCAGTCTAATGTTTGTCTGAAGAACACTTTGTTTTGGAAGATAAATATTTTTAATTATGTTGGGTAAATGAAAAGGTGTGAAAAAATCCTCTTTTGGAGAACCTTAATAATTTTATAAATTATTTACCTGAGTAAAGTGAGTTAAAGCCCAATGAATATCATTAACGGCTCAAAGATTCTTTCAGTTTTAAACTGGCACTTTGAAGGATTTGCGATTTTTTTCTATGCTGAAAGTCTCAGCGTTAGAAGAACATTAAATTTCTGAGATAGTGGTACCTTTAGAAGGGAACACCGATACCTGCTGAAAGCCCACTATGCGCTCTCTCCGTAAGCTTATTTGTTTGATCCAAGGTCTGTTCACAATTCATTAACGTTTTAAAAGAAGAAAGGTGAACTCTGAGAGGCTGTTCATGGCTGCCGCTAAGGAAGCCCTTTAACGCTTAGATGAGCACTAAAGTCGCTACCTGTGGCTCACTCTAGTACTCTTACCATCAACGGCCATCCTCAATTTTACCTGAAGTTCAATTCTGCAGGATCAGAAAGGGTGTGAATGCATGGAGTGAGAGGAGGTTTCTCTTTTGTCTTCCTACACTCCAAAATCTTTGTAGATAATTATTTTTCCATCATTATTTATTTTCTCTCTAACTACTGAAGGTGTATTTTTTAATAAAAGGATTTTTTCCTAATTACCAAAGTAATGCATAGGTATTGTATACAATTTTAAAAATACAAAGAATTTAAAAATTTTACAGTTTTTTTATTTTATTTTTGGCAAAAACAAATAAATAATGGGATTATATTATGTATACTGTCCAATAACCTAGTATTTTTTACTTACTAACACATCAGGCACATTTTCCTGTGTCACTAAATATTCTGGTAGAAGACCATTTGTAACAGCTATAATGTAATATTTCACAGTAAGCGTCTGTAGCACAACATATTTAATCAATCTGCATGGTTGGATATTCAGGTAATTTCTAGTCTTTCACTATTATAAAACAAAGCTATAATGACCAGCCTTGAAAATATTTAGCTGTATTCACAAATAGTTCCTTAGGATGAATTCCTAAGAACGGACTGGTCAAACAAAACTTTTTGGTCCACGTTATCAAACTGACCTCTCAGAAGTTTATGCCAATTCACTTATCAACAATATATAAACTACATTTTCACATAAAATTATTTTATATGAGCAGAAAAAAAATTCTATTTAGGATGACAAGTATATTATTATCGTTATTATCTACACTTTTCCTTATTTGTCTATTAAGTTGTAATGCAGATTAGTGTATAAATTGTTCAAATTATTTAAATCGCTATTACCTTGAGAAATCATAGCAAAACAATCCATGAGAACTTTCGACAAGGAGACTATATTTTGTATTTCTAAGTTATGCTTTATTAAATGACAAGCCCAGCAAATGATTCATCTTTTTCCAGTATTCTGAAGACTAAGAACTTTCCCAAACATGACACAAGTCTTTAATAAAACGAAAAGAGCTCTCCAGGGGCATGTATAAGAGATTGAACATATGGTCTCTTGCATACAAGCTATCAAAACCAAACCTGTCGCTGTTGAGTCGATTCTGACTCATAGCGACCATACAGGATAGAGAAGAACTGCCCCACAGGGTTTCCAAGGCTGTAATCTTTATGGAAGCAGACTGCCACGTCTTTCTCCCGTGGAACGGCTGGTGGGTTCAAACTGCCAACCTTTCAGTTAGCAGCTGAGCATTTAACCACTGCGCCACTAGGACTCTTCATACAATCTATGTTGTTGTTGTTAGGTGCCGTCGAGTCGGTTCTGACTCATAGCGACCCTACACACCACAGAAACATAATAACTCACTCGGAAGATTATTTACTTTATCTATACAATCTATAGAGAGACAAAATACTAGTTGGCGAGACAAAAGATGTAAAACGGAAAAAGGCAATGAGTCAAGTTAGAATAAACAGAAGAAAAGCACTACAGGTTGAGGTTCATAGTAGGGCTTCAGGAAGAAGAAAGCATAAATTTTAAAGTCAGGAAGAGGTATGAGTCAGGTCTACACAGCGTATTTCCTTATCTTCCAGGAGCAGAGGATTTGCGCCCGTGGAAAATGTAGGTAAGATATGGCCAGCTGAATGTCAGCTGAAAGCGTATGAGTTTAATCTGACAGGAAACAAAGGGCCTTAGGAGATTCTTAAATGGAGCAAATACACAAAGAAAACGGTGCTTTAGAAAGACAAAGCAACCAGGTACCAGAGACAAGCAGGCCTGGCAGGATGTTAACAATTGCTCAGGTAGTCCACAGGTATTGGGAAATACTTTTCGCTCTGTCATGGGTGACAGGTGAGACAGTGAGCAACTCAATGGCAATGATGGGCAGCAATCTCCCTGAATACTCCTCGGGGTCAGCATCGTCCGTACCTAAATCTCAGCGATTTCTTTTTTTTTTTTATCCCAGCGCAGGGAAACCAATCTCGTCTGTGACCCGTTTACTTTTCAGTCTTCTTGCTAGGTCATTTCCTTGGGCCTACCTGGCCCCCAACGGCTATGGCTCGTCTCCAACGAGTCTCCTGGATGACAGCTCTGGTGAAGCTCCCACTGGTTTTGCCCCGCAATCTGAAGCCATGCCTCAGTCTAATATCCTGAACTGTAATTTCTGCCTCTGATTGGTCTGCATTTGCTGTGACTTCACATGGACTTGATCTGTGACGTTCTGCCCCTCGTTGTTCTGCCATTAGCGCTCAGGAGGTGCCTGTATTTTCTCATACAATCTTACCTTCCTGAAGCATAGCTTATCATTTGCCCTGCAATGTGCAACCTGTTTGACCACTGTGGCTGGGAGTTCTATCACCCTCTTCTAAGTCACTGCTGACAACTCCTCCTTCTCTTTCACCTCTACTAACAATCAATTAATAAAGCCTGCTGTTGCCCTTCAATTTCTCACACCCACTTACTGCCACTACCTTTGTTCAAGCCTCATTACTATTTCCCTAAAATTTTACAGTAATTGCCTGTGATTTTTGCCTCTAATCAATACTGTATTGAAGTCAGAGAAAAGGAGAGAAAACAAACAGAACTGTAGAACAGTCTGCATTCTTTTAACCACCTGGGTAAGGATATCAAAAGAAATCAGACCAAATAGTTAAAGGTTTCCACTAAAACTCCACTGTATGAATTCCACCCCTTGTTGCCCTAGCAATAACACCCATCGGTTTTGATAATGCGTTAGATGGAGCCCACAGGTCTAGTAAGCACCACCTTGAAAGAAGGTCTGGGTAGGAGTCTGGGAACAGTCTGTGCCAAAAGCAAAAAATTACATCCTAAAAGGGAAAAAATATGATTTATGTATAAAAGAGATAAGTAGAGCCTAATGCTTAAAAGGGCTTCCTGACACTGTTGACTTATTGTTTCCTCCATTGCTTAGACTCAGTTGAGCATAATAAATCACATAGTATAATAAAACACATCAAACTCATTGCTGTTGAGTTGATTCCGACTCACAGTGACCCTATAGGACAGAGTAGAACTGCCCTATAGGGCTTCTAAGGAGCAGCTGGTGATTCAAACTGCCGACCTTCTGGTTAGCAGCCAAGTTCTTAACCACTGTCCCACCAGGGCTCCATGTGCCTATTACATACAAATAAATGAATTATAATAACTCAATTGGAAGATTGTTTACTTTATCTAAAACTGTTTTAGGGACAAATATAAGTGAACAAGTTTGGTTTAATCATGTTCTTCCTTCATATACCTAAGTAATAAATATGTTTCGAACACTTTCAATAGTCCACATGGTTCTTCCTCTAATCTGTCAACAGACTATTATCTTAATAAAAGATCTAATGGCACCAGATGCAAAATCTAGTCATTTTTTTCTGTGGTACAGTTCTGAGCAAGTTAAACCTCACGGTGTATAGGAGGCTGACATGGAGCAGTCCATGAAGTTCAGCTGGGGACACTCGACGTACTAGCACCTCTGAGGAAAGGGGCAGCTTCAGGATAGCAGACTACTGAAGTGTCAGAAGGACCTCAGACCTTTAGATTCAGCCTTGCTTCTGAACTTTGCAAAGTTTAAAAAAAAAAAACCTAAACCTTTAGAAGGTTTAATATTACTATTACGAACGTTCAGAAACCACCACCAATAAAAAAGGTGGAAAAATGATATTTAAACCAGTTTTCTAATCCTCTTGGCAGTCTTGCTTGCCTACAAATGACAATGATCTTGTATCATGTTAATGTTCTGGACCTTTTCCAAAACAAACACAGCCATTTCCCTTGAGCACACTGGCACGGATCTCTGATTAGGGGTATAAACCTTTTATTACAAGGAGCAGGTTAATATAAGTACACGGGTACTCACTGGCTAGTCTATTTTATTTAATACTCTTTTTGCTCACTTAAACTCAATATATTTTTTAAAAGTTAATTTCTAAAGCCTAAAATTAACCTAAATGTCTTTCATTAACATCTACTGTTTGGGTAAACTGGGTCATTGCTTGGGTAAATGATACACAAATTGCCAACCTAGTAAAAACTAATCAATAGGTATGATGTGCCTGAGGGTCAATGGGGGAAGCTGACCTGAAAGCCCAAATACCTGAGTTGTATTCATTTAGCTACTGGAACACTAACTGCTAAGCTGGAAATCTATCATTATCAGTTCGGTATTATACACCTAAGACT